CCCCAAAACCCCAAAACCCCAAAACCCCAAAACCCCTGAGGATCTTTTTAGTATTGAAAATTGCATTACATTTCAAATATAATTGATACTTAATAATTATGTATAGCTAATCCCTTCTTCAAAGTTGCGATTGAGATCTACAAACTTGAAGGGAGTAATAATGAACTCCTACCAATCTGTAGGGAGGTCTCTGTTTACCAAAGTTTGATCATTCTAATTTAGTTCAGATATAAGAAGTGCTTAACAAGCTTAAAGTTAGATATTTCTCTGAGATCTTGTCAAAGGTAAAACATTTTATGATTACATACTTGATAGTAAAAAGGTATCTGAAGACATTGCTAAGATCATTGCCAAACAACTGCTTAGATTTCTCGAGTATAATCATTCGAAGGATATCATGCATCGAGATTTAAAGTCGGAGGATGTTATTATCGAACCTTCTACCCTACAGATAAAAGTAATTGATTTTGGATCTCCAAGTTATTTCCCCAACTCTTATAAATTCAAGACCTGACTTGGAACTTCTTTCTACATAGCACCAGAAGTGTTAGAGAGAAAATATACCCAGAATGTAGATATTTGAAGTATTGGACTCATAAGGTATCTTATGCCAACAAGATCTCTTTTTCAAGAAGAAGATTTCCAGATTATTTATCAACAGATTTTGGACGAGTCTCTATGTTTCTATCATGACCAGTAGCTGTACCTAATCCAGAACGCAATGAGATTTATCAAAGATCCTCACAAGAGGATGTCTCTTGAAGATACCTTGACCCACACATGGCTTCAAGATGCCCAAATCCCAGAATGTTCAACTCTCTTTGAAATTTTTCATAAAATTGTCCAATAGACCACTTCCGAATCTTCTGAAGAAGGAAATGCTGCTTTTGATAAAGCCCAGCTCAGCACTGAGACCGTTCTGAAGTGGAGAACACTTTATGAGAAGATCTAGTCTAAAGGTATCTGCATGGCTAGTCCTAGAAAGTGAGAAAAGATTATAAAAAGACAACAAGGTAATATAATGGGAAGAAATAAGGATTTGAGTGATTTTTAATCTCAAATTTAGCTACCAAGGTTGTAAGTTTAGAGCTTTTTGAGACTTTTTAGCGGCTGTGGTCCACTTCCAGAACGGTTAATCGGTATTTTAGCATAAAATCAGTGCTTAAGGACAGAATATCGGATTGGGGTTGAAAGAAGAGACTCTTTGGATGGTGTACAAAAATATCTCTCTAGAAGAGGTTATCAGGACTAAATCGAGCTGGTGAAAACACACCTAGTCCAAATTTTTGAAGAATTTAAAGATAAAGGGGATAGTAGCTTGTCACAGCTTGATATAATATGTCAGGCAGCTAGTCTGAAGAAAGTGGTAAGTCTCTCCAGGTTCTTTTCTGTTATATCTTGGGTAAGATTTTAACCCTGGGAGACAATTAAATCTAACACATTTCAGGAAGTTGAAGCAAGATGTAGGGAAAAGAATGCTAAGGCAATAGAACTGACTTCTAAAGGCACCTTCTTGCTTATAAATTTGTTCCTGTTAATTAATTCGAGCTTTCAATATGGGTATTGAGAATTGGGGTTTTGGGGTTTTGGGGTTTTGGGG